TAAAAGGCCTGGATTTGAGGCCGAGGAGTGGAATGAGGAAGAAGGAGATGTGAAATATAACTGGAAGTTAAAGCTTACAGTTAGTGCTACATAGATAGATTAGCTACCAGCATTGCACAGAGAAACCACCAACAACACTACAGAGATCTCTGTTTCCATGTCACCAGATCTGAGACTTTATATCAGCATGTGCACTAAAAAAGAAGAAATGTTAAATACATTGATTGAATAACCTGTGAACAGGTTGAGTTTGACAAAGGACCTGGAAAATAATGTGTTTTAAAATCTAAACCTAATCTAAAACTCAAAATAAAATCCTAAATTATTGGAATAAGCGGCAAGAAAGGACACCAAGATACACCATCATGACAATTGTCAGGATCATCTAATTAAAACAAAGGTACGACAGAGAGTCTGTGATCCACTGACTGATTCAAAAGTGCAGTTTACTGAAACAGTGTATGTTGCATTGATAGAGAGCTCATTCAGACGACTACAGTCTGTCTAATCCTTCAAGTGTGTGAAATAATGCAAACTCCTGTCTTTGTCTGATCTACAGGGTGTGAGGCCAGTTCTATGATAACAGGATGTGAAGAAGGATGGTTTGAATTCACCTGCAATTACCCAAATACAACTGGAAAATACAATAATATAACTGTAGTTAATCCAAGAGAAACGGTCATACAGAGTACTAAAAATGATGTGTGGGAAACCAAAGAGAGCATTTCCCTGTACCATGATACACAAAATGAAGAACTCAGGGTGGCCATCAGACAACTTCAATCTAAGGACTTTGGGGAATACCAATGTGAATATTATCAAGGACTAAACTCAACCTTTGTCACTGAGGACCTGAAACTAGTAGTTGGTAAGAGACATTCACTTTATACTTTTTGTCAAACTTTGTTAACTGCTGCAGCCTCTCTGTCTGCACACACACACACACAGAGCAAAACCAGCTGATCAGAGAGTCTAGTTTTATTTAAAATATTAAATTCTTATCCAGTTTAATTAAAAGAAAACCAGGCTGACACAGGAACTGCATAGCTAATATGCACTATTCAATATTTATTAATTCATATCATGCAGGCCTAGTAATTAATACATTTTTCAGGATTCCTAATCAATCAAACATAATAGATTTAATCGTAAAAGTCCTCAGACATCAGATACATGGTGCCATTAAGTACAGTCTGCCATAAATAACAAATTACAAGAAAAGCTGACAGGATAGATAGGTGAATCATACTTTCTATGAATTTCCATCAGGTGTATTACAGTGTTAGATTTCATATTTTACATTTGTTTTATTTATTTGCAGAGGAAGATGGCTGCCAGGAACAACAATGAAGCTGTTGATAAACATGATATAATCCATCTGACAACGCTCATTATTACGCGCAAGTTAAAATATAAAAATACCAAGTAGAGGGTTAGTAAAAAGTTGCATAAACTCCTGTGAATGATGAATCTTCATCAGTGTATATTTAAAAATGTACTCTAAAATATAAGATTAGAAAATAAAGTTTTTTAGATTCCCTCTGTTG